CCCAGGCGCCCTCGCACACCCCTGACGCGGGCTCTTCGCTTTGAGGATCACTGGAGCGCTAAAGCCCCTGGGCCTGCTGTCAGACTCGTTCGGCCTCACCCCCATTACCCAGGGCCCAGGCAAATCCACTGCCCTGGGTCTTGAAAAAGTCCCCTCGGGTAGATGTCCTCAGCCCCAGGCCCCATCACGCCACCCGAGAGCTTTCAAATAGATTCCCCTACAGCTCCAAATGGCTCTGGTTGCTCTGCCAGGCTCCCTCGGGCCAGTCCCCTTCAAGGCTTCAGACCATATGCCCTCGGCCCAGGTTCTCCTCTGGCCTGCTGGCCCGTCTTCAGCCTGGGTTCCCTTCCTCGCCTCAAGATGGTGTCGCCTCGGCCCGTGTGTCCTCAGCCCGAGTCCCTCCCGCCGTCTCAGACTGTCTCTCCTCAAACTGTGTTGCCACGGCCCAGGCTCCTTGGCCCCTCAGCCTGTCCCCTCAGATGCCTTAGACCATGTCACCTCGTTCTGGAATCCTGTCCCGTCTCCTCGGCCCAAGCCCTGCGTGCCTAACCCAACACCCCGGGCCATGACTCCTTCGTCCTCTCGGCCTAGGTCCCGGCCGACCCCTAGGCCCTGTTCTTACCCGAAGAGGCCGGAGAAGAAGGACTGTGAGTTCTTCACTTTGCGCTCCGCCTCGGCCAACAGCGCCATCGCCTCCGCCTCCTTCCCGGAATTGTCCATGGCGGCCGCAAAGGTACTCAGCAAACCGCCCGACCCGGGCCCTGGAAGGAGTCAGCCGGGGCCGGGCCGCAGTACACAGGTCGGGAGAGCTCAGCGGGCTCTGTTGACGTCGCACCGGCGCCCGCCGCCTGCTGTCCGGCAACACGTGACTCGTACTGGCCAACCAAGGCCTCGTAGCGCAGCGCGCGCCCCGCCGGCCACGCCCCCGCCGACCGGCGCTCGGCGCCCCGTGACTGACGACTCCCAATCGGGTTCCCGAGATCTCAACGCATGCGCACACACCCGCGAACGGCACCCCGCTCTCTTCCTAGTGCTCGGTACACCTCCCACGTGACTGCATAAGACACTAGTAGTTCGCGTAGCCAAGGACCCGCCCCCAGGTGTTGTCGCTAGATCCCCCTCCGCCAATCATCAGCAGCCCTCGGTGGGGTCCTCGCCCCCCTGCCGAACTCGGGCACTAGTCAGCTGACAGCTGGCCCACACATGACAGCTCGGGGTCCCCGCCCGCGTTTGACAGTTCTCTTAGTCCCGCCTCCGCGCCCGATCTCGCGTCGCCCTTCACTGGGAAAGGCCTATGTGGCGAAAGGGAAACCCGTCCGCTTTCTCTTGCGCCCTCTGCCGACCAAGACTGGAACTGGTTTGGGGAGACCACTGAAGTACTTCAAAGACTGGAAACAAAATTTAGAGGTTCCCTAACTCTGGCTTCGTAAAAAGTAGCTGGAGAGAGCGTGTTAAAAATTCACATTGGAATGCATCTAGGGCCCAGATATTGGTTTCTAATACCATTCTACAATAAAAGGAATCGGGATTCCTTGGAGAAATAGCTGGTTTTAGGACTGGGCGGGAAATTATACAAGAATGAGCCTTCAACATCTTTGTAGTGCCAGAAAGGAAGGATTACACAAACACACACGTGCACACACACAAAATGATGGGGATATGTATGTCAAAGGGACACGGCAGCCAGCTGAAGGAGCTCTCAATGGCCAAAGCTGGAACAATCTCAGTAATAAAATAGTATTGAATTATAACCCAAAATATAAGTATCCATGAGCCCATGAGCATATAAATGAACAAATATATATTGGGCAAATAAATGAGGAAAGATAGACAAAACATTTGTGCAGAATTCCAAATAATTCATGTAGATACTCTGCCCTAAAGAAGATGGAAGATAACTCTCCACTCCTTAAGTGTGGACTGTGCATCAAGGGAGGAAAAGACTAAGTTTACAGTGGAGAAACCTGACGTTGTCAGCCGGGTGACTGAGGTTAATGTCAACAATGATAAGCCATGTCATTAAAATGGCTGTTGACCTCTGTGGTTTTCCTCTCAGTCTAATCATGAAAAAAACATTAAACAAGTTACAGCTGAGGCACAAAATACCTGACTAGTACTCCTCAAAACCGTTAAGTCATCAAAACAAGGAAGTCTGAGAAACTGTCACAGCCAACAGGAGCCTAAGGAGACATGACCACTAAATATAATGTGTCCTGGGTGGGATCCTGGAACAGGACATTAGGTTAAAAAATAAGGAACCCTAAATAATACATGGACTTCAGTTATTAATTTTGTATCATATTGGTTCATTAATTGTAACCGTACTAATATAAAATGTTAATAGGGGAAACTGGGTGTGGGGTATATGGGAATTTTTTGTACTGTCTTTGCAATTTTTCTGTAAATCTACAACTATCCTAAAAAGCTTCTTTAAATGAAATCGGGTTCCAAGGCCTCATCCCCAATGATTACAATTCTGAAAAAGTCTATGGCCAGGCGCAGGAATCTGCATTTTTTTAACAGAACCCTATATGATTAGGGGGCAGATAATCCAGGGGCTACCATTTAAGAAAACGCTATTATTTGGGTTGGGGGTTGGCTCACTAGGGGTTAAGCATAAGAAAACTTTGACAAACTCTTATATTAAATAGACTTTCCTGGACCACCCACTTGTGGTTGCTACTGTGTCCTGACCACAGATTGGGTGGAGGCGAGTCTGGATTACCACAAACAGTTTCGGTTCTGTTTGTCAAAGTGCTTCCGTTTAAACTGTTACATTTTAGGATAATTTGTTATGCAGCAATAGATAACTAGTATACCCCTCAATCCTTTGAGCCAGAGTCTTTCATTTCCAAAGTCATCAAATTCATTTAGTGTGGGACCCAAACAACATTAGCAATAGCATGGGTGCTCATTAAATCGTAGCTGTTCGGTTCTTAGGGTGCACACCCTGCCAAGCACTTAATTTATATTTTCTCATTTAACAGATACACAGCAGGGGCTGGGGAGAGGCATTTTTCATCCCATTCTACAGACAGAAAACCGAGGCTCAAACAAGGAAAATAACTTGCCATAGGTCACGATGAAAGAAGAGGAGCCAGGATGGAAGCTCAAGGTTCAGCTAATGCCTGGACCCTTTCCCTTAACCAGTTTCCAAACTGCTCTACACTCAACGTCACCTCTGCTCTTCCTCCCTCCCAAGCTTTCGGGCTTAGCTGATAGGTGGCCTCTCTGTGAAACCTTCTGATGCTACCATCTACTGTGTTCCCCCTTCCTGTCCCTCAGAACGCACTACAGGGTATCACAGACGCGATCACATCAGGATGCAACCGACCCTCTAAGTCCCTCTTCCCCATGGGAGTTAATGGCATCGACTCAGCTGCTCAGGCCCCAAACCTACCAGGCCGGCCTTGAGCTGCCCCTCCCCTTACCACCTCCCCCTGTGACCCATCAAGTCTGTGGAGCCTACTCTAAAATGCATCCCGGATCCCTGTGTTCCTGTCCCTCTCCACTGCTACCCCAGCCTCGGCCACCATCATCTCACCTTGGAGCCTTCTGTCCACTGCCCAGCTTCCAATCTTGCCCCCTACAATCTCCACATGGCAGGATGTTTCTTAAAGAGGCACACAGATGTCACTTCCCTCCTTAACACCCTCTGATAGTTTCCCGAGGCAGACTTTAAGCTTTTGCCATGCCACCACCTGGGACCCAGATCTTGGTCTCCCCTGGCTGTCCACCCTAACACCGTCTGTGACACCCTGGTCATTCTCTAGGACTTGGCCCCGTTTTATTCTCATCATGTCACTCTGCAGTGGACACAACGGTCTGCCTACTCAGTAGCCATTTCTGCTTCCTCTTCTTTCCTGGCTAATAGAATTCCAGTTTTTTCTGGGTGACAACAAACTCAAGGGAACACGTCGGTTTTCCCCAGTCCTGGAGACAAATCTTGAGTAGTCCAGGATAACTTGCCAGGGATCAGTTTAAAAACAAGCACAATCTACCATCCTGGCCGATGAGACCTAAGGCAT